ATAATATATCTAAAATTTAAAAAATAAATTAAGAAAAACTTTTTTTTAGAAGATAATATTTGAAGATCCTATCAATTGAGTAAACAACAATCTTAAATATCATATATTAAATATATTAAATAAAATACGTTGTTTGAGTTAACACACTATGTATTATAGTCAATTACTATTAACAATCGAATTCAGTATGATCATCACTATCATTAATATTAGTTAATATTACAAATTTAACATCTCTTTTTTGATGTTTAATGATATCATTTACTATTTCAGTAGAAATCTCTCCTATTTTATTAATCTTTGATACTTGATTTAGTTTTTTTTCATTAACTATATCAAAAGATGAGCTAAGGTAAAGAATTTTATTATCAAAAAACTTTGAATAACAAATTGTAATAGGATATTTAGCATCAGGATCTGCAACATGTAAATCAATATTCTCAGAGATAGTTCCAATTATTATTTCTATTAATTTTTTAAAATCAATTTTAAAATCATCTGATTCCTCAAAATAAAAACCAAACTCAAAACGCGAGTGAGCAGGAATAACTTTTAATGTTTCACCGTTTAATGAAAGTGAAAAATAAGCATTAACAGAATAAAAAACATTAGGAGAGAACGGTATATAAATAAAATAAAACTGAAAATGATTTTATTTTTAAAATCTTTTTTATTTTTGATGTAGGAACTACAACACTAATATGTTTATTTAATTCATTTAAATAATCCTTAACACTTAATTCTAATAAATTTATTTCTTTAAACCAATCAACAATTTGCGATCCAATATTATGTATAATTACATTGTTATATTTTTCTAATAATTCTTTATTTTCTTGTCTCCATTTCCACATATTATAATAATGATTTTCAAACTCATTATTTATATTGTAATCCTCCTTAGATTCCTTTAATCTTTTTTTTTCAATTAAATATAATTCATAAAAATAATAGTTTAATATCCCATTACCTAAATCAGTAAAAGCATCACCAGTATTAACAATATTTTGATCATTTCAATTATTCATAACAACAATATATTTTCCCATGTTTTCTTACTATAATATCTAGTTTTACATGTTCTAATATTTAACTTAAATAAAAAGCTACAAGATTTTTTGTTGTTTTTATCTTTTTTCCTTTATATTTATAATATAAACCTCTATTTTTAAAATTATCTATTAAATCAAAGAATTTAACTTAACTATTAATAAATACATTATTTAATTCATCATCAATTCTACCTATTATTTCATAAATCTTATTATTCTCAGATAATCCAATATTACCATTATCAAACAAAGCTAATTCAAATTTTTTTCTGAGTACTTATATTTAAAGGATTGTTTTCCAATAAATTTTTCATTTCTTTAAATAATTCCCCTTCATGAGAATAAAAAAAAATTTTTTTTTCAATTTTTTTATTAATTACTTCAAAATCTTCATTTTTATTATTAATATTTACAGAAAAATATCTAATAGAAATGCTATTATTTAATATACAATTTGTCTTAGAATTAAACCTACTTCACCCTTCACCCCCCCCCCCTCCCTTATTCCCAACATAACCCAACAAATAATATTTATTTTTTGAATAAACACATCTAAACATGAAACAACATAATATAAATACAATACTAGCTTAAATTTCTTAATATAGAAACACTAGATTAATTTCTAAAAAAAAATTTTTTAATATTAAAGCTAATTAATAATTAACCTTTTATTAATAAATCATCATAATCAAAAGTAATATGATAAACTAAATAAATATTAGATTTAAAATTGATATTATTATTATTCTTATTTCCCGTATTAATAGATGTAATTGAATTCAATAAATCTTTATAAATTTTTTCTTTAATCTTAACATCATTAGATTTATTTCAACAAACAGCAGAAGATATAGAAGTTCAATAAATAATATTATACATATCAAATAAATTCTCATTATTTGAATAATTATAACTATTTTCTAAAGTATTATTTAATTTTATAAAATCATACTTTTTTAATAACATCTAAATCGAAATGTCAATAAATCCATTATAAATCAACTCATTTGTAACTCTAATCCTTAATTCCATAAAGAAAAATTTAACAAAAGCATGAGGATAAAGCTTATTTAATTCAGCTCGTTTTTCAAATAAATTTATATTATTAAAATCTTCAAATAAACCTAAATAAAAAACATCAGAAGTAAATGAAATATTATCAATAGGTTTATTAGAATAAGCTCTAATATTTATTTTTTTTTAATATAAGATCAATCAATATAATTATTAATAGAATAAATTTTCTTAATATTATTTAAAGTTTTTATCATAAATTATAAATATCTAATACAATACTAGTTAAAAATTGATGTATAATAAACTAGATAAAAACTATAGAATATAAATAATCACCACGTTAATAATAAACCTTTTTTATATTAAAAATAATATTTAATTAGTAATACTATTAAAATAAGAACAAAACCATCATTTAACAATAGCTTGCTCCCTCCGTACCGATATTTATCGATATTTAATCGATTTACAAAATGGACTATCTCTCTATAACCGTATATAAAAAATATTTTTATTTTTGGTTTACCCCCCCCCCCAAATTTTATAAAATTATTTTTTTACATATTTTCAAATTATATTTATAGCAAATCTAACTATTGGGGGGGGGAAAGGGTAAGTAAAATCATTTCAATTATATTTATTGTACTTAGAATTTGATAATTTAGAATGAAAATTAGAAGTATTGTTTATATGAATTTTTATATTTACATCTAAACAATAAAAAATATTTTTTGAATAAAAATATTTTTTTGTGTTTAAAAGCTGATTATGATAATGGTAATGAATTAGAAATATTATTAACATTAAATATTTTATTGAATAATCCTTTTCCTTAATAAATAATATTATTAAATGTATAATCTTTATTAATATTTTTTTCCATAAAGAAAATAATAAGATATTCATCCTTGTTCTGATTTGCATTATTTAAAATTTTATTAATATACTATAATTATTTTAATAAAAGTTCTTAAAAAATTTTTTTATATCTTAATGGATAGTAGACAATTTATTTTTAATATAAGTTGGTTTATAATTAATAGTTTTTACAAAATTATAATTATTAACATTCAGTTTATCAACTGGATCATCAGGATTAATATCCTAAGCAAATAATCCGCCGAGTAATTAAAATTATGATTGAAATATTTAATAACTGAGTTATTATCAAAGTTAATATTAATAGTGTCAATAAGAGAATAATCGGTTTGTGGATAATTAACGCCTAAATAATAAAGGTATGAATTAGTAACGGGAGAAACGTCAGTATTTTTAATTAAATCAGATTGTGAATTGAGAAGGGGGGGGGATAGAAACGTTCAGTGTAGAATGATTTTTATTATTATTTTTCATGAAAAGTTATTGTATAAAAAGTGTTCTAAGAAGAATAAAAGGAATAGTTTTTTATAAAATTATTTTAAATATTTTATAAAGTAAATATATAAAAAGATAACCAATTAAAGCAGGTGTCAAAACAATACTATCTTTTAAATAAAGATGTAAAAATAAAATCAATAACAAAATAATAAAAATTTATACTAAATAAAAATAATAAATTTAAATCCTAGGTTAACGGATATATAAAAATAATAACCGGAAAATTAAAAAAAACGATTAGAAAAAAAATTATAACTTTATTAAAAATATATTGAAGAAAATAAAACGTAAAAGAATGATGCTTATGAAAGATGATACGAACAATTTAAAAGTAAATCACAAAAACCGTAGAAAACTCTTGAAGTAACCGTTAAAAAGCGGGATCAAAGCAAACCTCGGTGTAAAAAGCGTTGTAATGAAAGAGTTTGGAACAATAATTGAAATTTTAAAAATTTAAAAGGTAAAAAAAATGAGAAAAACTTTGAAAAGGGGTTGAATAAGCAGTAATTGAAAAAGCTGAAGCAATTCAAAAACCCATTTCAATAAATTGTATTGAAAAAGTTGGAAAATTTACTTTAAAGAAAAACTATTAAATTACAAAAAAAGAGAAAACAGTTGAAAAAATATGTAATGAAAATAATAATATTGAAAAGTGATAAAAATAATAATGTTGAAAGAACAACAACGACGAGGTTAGAAAATTCTAAGAAGTCTTATTAAGCAGATATTTACGGTTGTGTATCTATTTGGTAAATAAGATAAAGTATAATTTAATTATTTGTCTAAATTAGGCTTAGGTAAGTTAACTTTAAATTTGTTAATAAAATAATTAAATTTTAAGTTTGATGTCCATTTATAAGAATTAAATAATTTTTTTTATAATTTTTATTTTTGATTTTTTTTGTAAAAATAAAAATTAAAGTTTGTCAAAATAAGGCAAAAATTTTTAGTTGAACAGGTTAGTCTTAGATACAAAACGGAGGGTGTATTGAAGAATAAAGGTTCCCTGAAGGGAACCGTATTGTAAAAATAAATTTTAGATAATTATGTATTTAAACCCAAAGTTAGAATATGTTATTATAAATTTTTATTTTTTGTTAAAAACACTATAAAATAAAATTTATGTAAATTGATATGAAATAAAGATTAAAAATAAAAGTTTATATTATTTAATTGGTTTATACAATGGAATAAAGTGTATTTTTTTTATTAAAAATTTTTTAGCGAGCAGGGGTAAATAAAATTTATTGAAATTAATTATAAAAATTTTTTTCAATTTTAATAATTTATAATATTAATTCATGATTAATAATAGCTTGTTACGAAAATTAAATACAACTTTTAATAATATATAATAAAAAATTTATTAATAAAAATATAGATTATAAGGAGGTTATATAAAATTTAATATTAAAAATAAAATAATTTAGACGAATTATAATTACTTTCTCCATATTTAGTACAACTTTAAAATAACCTTTAAAATATAATTTAAAAATAATTTAAAGGATAAATAATAGTATATTAAATAAGGGGGGGGAGAAGAAAAGGGAGTTCTTAGCTCAATTGGTAGAGCAAATGACTTTTAATCTTTTGGTTAGGGGTTCAAGCCCCCTAGAACTCTATAATATATTATTACATAGCTTAGTTTAAGCTCCAAAGTGGCTATATGTTAATGGTAGACTGCTCAGCTTCCACCTGTGATGTGCTGATTCGACTTCAGCTAGCCACATTAAAGTTTAATATATAAGTAACTTAAGTTAATCAATTTTAGTTACTAAAAATGTACTATATAAACCTTAAAAATTTTTAAATAGTTTCGAAGGTTAATAAAAATTTAATTAATTTTTATTTTTATTTATTTTGCATAATTTATTTTAGTATCGCGCGGAACGTTAGAGGAGGGGGGGGTCAGTAACTTAATAGGTAAAGGCTATCCTTGTCGAGGATGGAGATGCCGGATCGTATCCGGTCTGACTCGAAATATTGTACTTTATAATTTAATATTTATTTTATAAAAGTATAATAAAAATATTTTTAATTATAAATTTTTAAATTTCTATATTTTAAAGAATTTGTATTTTTATATTTTGTAAAAAATTAATAATTTTATAAATGTTTATATTATAGAATTAAATAGTTTAAAATTTATATAATCTAAAATTTTTAATAAAGGTATATAAATTTTATAAAATTTAAGTATGAATCTAAATTAATTTTGCTTAAAAATAAACTTAAAATTTAAATATTACCTTTTATAAGCAATGTTAGTTATATTTTTAAAAAAAAAAGCTAAAAGAAAAGTAGCCATGGGTAGGGTAAAATATTTGCTAAATATTGTGGAAACACATGGATGTTCGAATCATCTCTTTTCTGTAAATAGATTAAAATTTAAGAGTATAATTTAATAGGAAAAATAAAAAGCTTCAACCTTTTGTTTCTCAGTTCAAACCTGAGTGCTCTTGTATTTTTGTTGGAAGATACAAGATAAAAAATTTAACCTTAGCTCACAAAACGTTCCATAGCAATCAGCAGAAAATTAATATAAATTAAAAATGCCCAAATTTTTGTTATTTATAAATTTAAATAAATTATAAAACTAAAAATTAGTATTTATATAATTTAATTATGCGCCACTTTGAATATTCTATGTCTGTCAAAAGGGACAAGTAATAAATTTCATAAACTACTTTTAATTAATCCGTCTTGCGGAAGCGGGACGATAAACTAACTGATTTAAATTATGGAAATAACATGTCTAAAGCTTATTGAAACGCGTATGGTTGTTGTGGTTTACGAGGGGAGCAAAATAATAGTTCATTTAACTGTGCGCCATCTTGGATATTTCAAGCCTGTTAATTGGATTAAAAATCTATATTTCATAAATTAGGATTTAATGACTATCATTTTAGGAAGATGATATAAAACAACCAACTTACCCGATGCGAAAGCTATGGGGAGTGTAGCATGTTGGTAAAGCAAAGTGACGGTATTGTAGTCGAACCGAACAAACTTTGCAAGTTAATAGGTAACATGGTCAATTTCAACCTATCAGGGGGGGGGGTTCATGAACGCCCTTTCGATGACTAATCATAAAAATATAAATAAATTGAGAAAGTAGTAAACCCGCGCCCAACACGAGGGAACGTAAATCTTCTTATTCAACTTTCAGTGGAAGGATATCATGTCGCATTTATTGGCGAGACACTTATCTAATTTTTTTCCTAGATATCATTCTCGTCGAATGTCGACATCTTTAACAACTTCTGAATTTTATAATGTAATGATCGAAGCCGATACTCACTTTGTTAAAACCGAGTTAATTCTAACTGATCCTAAAAGTGAGCCGTATACTCAACAAGAGTAAATAGGATGACCTAAATTACCAAAAGACTTGAAATAATCAAATTTGGGATCGCTTGGAGAGATCCCCGTCTATGGGGGGACGGTAATAAGATCTGTGATCCACCATGTAGGGGGGGGGGAGAGTCGTATGCATTGAAAGGTGCACGTACGGTTCGGTGGGAGCGTTCTGGTTATCTGAACCTAAAAAATTCAGACCCGACCAATTATTAGTAAGGACTAAACAAACTCTTTGAATTGTTGAAACAATATTGAGCGAAACTAAATTAAAAAGGAAAATATCATACTGTTAATAAGTTAATAATTTAAGACACATAGTGGTTCTTCAAAATAAGATTTAAAGCCCATACTAGTCTTTATCATGCATTGAATCAATCTAAGATTATAATATAAACTGGTCGTATACTCTAAAAAAAAATAAATAGTTAATGTAAATGAGCAAAAGACGTAAAATTAAATGTAAGATTATTAAATATTTGAATATTGTAGACAATATCAATAACACTGAAACTAATAAAACCTTAAAAATGATGTCCATGTGGTAATCTTGCTTTGGAGTAACTCTCATTATAATTAATTTGGAAATAAAATTGCAACCAGGATTTTTCAATTGGTGGAGAGAGGATAAGCATAATCTTGAAATGAACTAGTTTAGTGGAGGGCTGTATTCGTTGAAAGGTGTCTTCTTAAATAAAAATCATCTATGAAAAAAAGATGGCTGGCAACCCTACTTAATAGTTAACTTCTTTGTTTAAATCAAAAAATAAAAAAATTTTTTTTTATTTTGATTAGGTGAAAAGTAAAGTTATATTTTAAATTTCCTTTAATAAAAATTTATTATGGGTTCTTTAACTTAACGGTAAAGTATATTTTTGATAAGAATACAATTCAAGTTCGAATCTTGAAAGAATCATTTAATGATATTTTAAATTATAATTAAAATAAATATTTAACTTTTTACGTAAATTGAATAAATAATAAATTTAGAATAATTTAAGGTTGATATAAATTTTGTCTTTTAACGGTTATTAAAAATTTTTTATATAAAAATTTATTATATAAAATTTATATTTATTTATATAATAAATATATTAAAAATTTTGTATTGTTTAAATAAAAATTAAATTAAAAAATTTAATATAGGAATTTTAAAATAATGAAATTAAAATATTTATAAAAAGTTATAAAGTGTTGTTTTGAATATTTTGGGCCAATCAAGAAAAGTTTGAACCTTGTAAGTGAAGACTTTTCTATAATGACCGGCCCTTTAGAAATGGACTATAATGAGTTTATCCGAAAATGGAGGATAATGTAGTATGCTGGTAACTCCGACTAAAGTTGGTATGGTAGCAAAATCAAATGTAAGTTAGTTATCAATAAAATTTAACTAATTTTTCAGTCGAGTCATTTAAATCCTATCAGACAATCAATTAGTAATATTATAAGCCAATATCTATTTATATGGTTAACCATTTATATTAATCATAGTCCTAAAAGTAGGCTGAAAGAATTTAAAGTTTATTTTTATTAAAATAAAATTACATCTTAGCCTTCAATAACACAAAGTTATAAATTGGATAGGAAAAATTTAATAAGAGAATTGACCGAGCCCGGTTTATGGTGATAAGCTTGAGTCTTATTTGGCTATATTTAGTCACATCCGTTCAAATCGGATATTCTCTGTTAAAATTAATAAACGGATTAGAGCCAGGTTGGAAAGGCGCCTCATTTGGGTTGAGGAATTCTTATGTTCGAGCCATAATAATCCGAATACCAAAATAAAATAAAAAAAATTTAAATGAATTATAATTAAAAGTGTCTTAACGATATAGAATATATTGTTTTACTTCATTTTTCTAAAATATAGAAAATATAGAAAGAAACTATTAGGGAATCATTGCAATATATCAAAGAGAGAAATTTTAATTTGTATAAAAACCTCAGTGTAAAACTAGTTTATACATGAACTCTAAGAGAAATTCAGTAATAAACGAAGTAAATTGAAATATCTTAATAACTTTAGGAAAAGAAATCAAAAGAGATTCTATGATTAGTGAGAATGAAAATAGAGAAGCCTTCCAATACATATGGGAGGGTTTAGGTATAATCGGGTAATATAAAAACATTAAATATTATTAAAAATTTTTAGGAAAATTTTTAAAGTTAATATATAATATTAAGTAAATAAAAGTTTTATAAATATAAAAACCTATGTAAACTAAAACCATAGTATGGTAGAAATAAAAATTAATAAGTAGAATGGGTTAAGACTTGTTTGAATAAGTAAAGGGGAACCTTCCTCTAAGGCTAAATATGATATATTGAGCGATAGCGTAGAGTACCGTGAGGGAATTGAAAAATTAGTAGTTTTATAAGCAGCTTGAGAAGAAAATTTAAATAACATTAAAAGCGTACCTTTTGCATAATGGGTCAGCAAGTTAATATTAGATGCGAGCAATAACTGCCTAGATAAATCGGTCAATACAATAGTGATAAGTATCTAAAATTAGACCCGAAACCTAGTGATCTTACCATGATCAGAGTCACAAAAGCTCGAACGGGTTATTGTTGCATAAATATCCGATGAATTGTGGTAAGCTTGGTGAAAGATAAAACTGACTAGGGATAGCTGGTTTTCCGCGAAACGTATCTAAGTACGTAATTTTAACTAACATCATGCAGGTACAGAACTTGATCTTACATGGCTAGTCGAGGAGATATTTTTCAATTATATCGGGGAATCGTGAAGATTTTATCGTTAAGTAATAGGTCTCGGAATGGCAGTGATGAATGTAAAAATAACAGACATAGTATGCTAAGGTTGTATGTCAAAAGGGAAACAGCCCAGAACAAGTGTAAATATAAGGTTCCAAAATTATTGTCAAGTGAAATAAAGAGAGTTTTTATCTTATTCGATCAGGTAATGGGCTTAGTGGCGGCCATTTTTTAAAGACCTCGTAATAGAGCACTGATTCAACACCGGAAGACCTCCGGTGGATAGAGACATCTAAAATTTATCGGATCTAAACAATATACCGACACCTTGTCCATAATTACAATTGGTATCCAAATTAAGAGATGGTCTATCTAATTTAATTATGGGGTAGCGGAACGTTGGGTGATAATATTCAATTATTCTTTTTAAGAATAAAAAAAAGATTAACCCAAGTGAGAATGCTGACATGAGTAACGAAAAAGGATAAAAAAAATTTTTTTTACCTCGCCTTAAGCTTATGGTATTATATAAGTAACGGCCTCTAA